TTCTAATCCTCCCTTGATAGAGTACACATTTTTGACGATAATCAGTGCTCTTCTGAGCCCTGTCCTAGCATCTCCTCTCCCTTCAGTAGAGAATTTCTTGTGGATCTTACTGTGGAAGGTGTAGCTTGTTGGTCACCCTTGATAGTGGAGGGGGGGAGATCCATGAAATGAGAAGAGTGACTCTAGGACTGAGCAATGTGACTCTTCTGGGTGCCGGCTTGGGACCACTGATGAAAAACTGATGGCTCAGGAGTAAAGCAGGAGAATGTAGTGGGAGAGCCAATCAGGAACACACTAGCAGGAGGGTCAAACAGCTCAAGATGTAGATCTGGGAAGGGTCAGAGGCCATCTTGGTCAAACCACTCATGGTACATTGGAAGGAGGAAATGGAGGCCCACAGTGGTTAAGTGACTTATCCAAGGTCACACAGATAGGAAGCAGTAGATCAGGGCTTTGAACTCAGCTCCTCTGACTCCAAATTCAACACTCTTCCCATTGCACCGTCACTAACCCGATGGCAGAAAAAGTCTTGATCTAACTCTTAGATAAGGAACTGTCCTGTGAGATCCAGGAGTCTACAAGTGATTGAATAATAGGAAATATTAACAGGAAAGAAGAAAATGTAATAAAGTACTTGCTCAGAACCAGACTAAGAGACTAGGTTGAGTCAAGAGGAACAAGAAACACACAATGTTCTCCCTGATGTCCATCTTCATGGATGAACATGTGGCCTGTGTTTGAGACATCTTGGGCCAGGGACACTTCAAACCCTTTCTCACACTCAGGAGCTGAACGAAGAGTCACTCAGCAGTCAGGGCCATTTTAGGTCTTTCTGTTGATTCAAGTTCTTGGCATCTTTTCACTGTTCATGGGGGTCCCAGGATGTCTCTGTTAGGAGTTGGTCCCTGTGAAAACAGAGAAAAGTAATTTTTAGAACCGATTTCCTACCTCCATTTATTTTCATGATTAAATTTATTTTTTTTTCCCCTTGAGGACTCCTGACCATTGACTTGGATCTCAGCAGATGCTTTCTGATTAGCCCACTCAGCCCCTGTTTAACACAGTGGCCTTCCTCTAAGGCCGTTATCCTTATCGCTGAAGACTAACTCGCCACACTGCCCCTCCCTCCCTCCATTCAAAGACATTAAACTCCCTGGAAAGGGCTCACTGTGGACTGAGTTTGGTCTCTGCTGTCCAGCCATGAGGAGAAGGGTTTATGCTGAGAGGAAAGGGAGAAAAATGTTCACATCAGAGCCCATGACCGCAGACTTTCACTGCCCGAAAAGCATGATCTTGAGGATAAGTCAGAACAAATGAGTCGCAGTGTGGGGAGTTTTTTCATTGTAGGAAAAGGGTTGTCATAATGGGACTGTGACAGGGATTCGAGCAGCTAAAAAAAAGTGAAGGCTGGAGGACCTCTGAGCTTCCTTCCAGCTCTGAACCCTCTGACAGGAATCAGGGTTAGTCACACGAGGATGCTCAACTGCCCACGAGGGAGGCAAGAAAGAGCAGTTCCCATCATGCCATTATACACCTCCCCGCCCCCACCCCAGCTCTTATTCTTATCTGCATCAAAGTCAGCACGGATGTCAGAGGAAAGGAGCTATCCCTCAGCTTTCTCAGCCTAGGCTCCTGAGGCAGGCAACCTAATTATTCTGAACAAGGCATTAGAGGCAAAGCACGTAAACAAACAAAACAACACAAAACAGACTCCACTCCCAATGAGCTTTGTGTTATCTTTGGAGAAAAGCAAAACAATCAACAACCACTTTGTTTGGTTTGAACTTTGAATCTGCAGCATTTAATGACTTGTCTGCTGCCTTTTTTCCCTGCCCCAATCTGTGATTCTATTGATAGAGCAAGCTCAGAGCTTGCCTGGGTCACTGAGGTGTGGAGTGACTTGTTCAGGGTCACGCAGCCAGTTGGTGGCCAATGTGGAGCTAGAACTTTGGGGCTTCTTGGCTCCAAGATTGGCTCCCTCTCTCCTGAGCTTCTGCTTCTTCTCTGTCTGACACATAGTAGGCCCTTAATGAATGCTTGATGGATTGAATTGAATTAAAGGCTTGCAGTAAGTGGTTTTTCCCTCTCTTACCATAGATGTTCCCATACTGAGAGGCAGCCTGGCATGGTGGATAGGGTCTTGGACTTGGAGTCCTAGGAGGACCTAGGTTCAAATCCCACCTCAGACATTTATTAAGTATATGATCCTGGGCAAGTCTCTTAACCTCTCTGTGCCTCAGTTTCTTCCCCCGTAAAATGAAGGGGTTGGACTCCAGGGCCTCGCAAGTCTCTTTTAGCTCTAAATCTATGATCCTTTCAGGGACAGGCAATCCCCTCTTCACTCTGCCTTTCTGGAGGAAAGGCATGGCCAGAGGAGTTAGATGAGGCATCATCTGCCTTTTGAAACAAATCGCCCCTGCAGTCAGGAGATCCATCAGCCAGGACTAAGCTTGGGGCTCATCGAGGATCATCTTGGCTGCTTCTGTACTTACAGAACCATCTCTGTGTCAGTGTCTCTGCAGAGAAACAGAGCATAAAACCAACCCAGGGGATATCACAGAAGAGAAGTCATTGGCTGAAGAAGGAAAGAGCAGACGGTCTAAGTTATCTAACCACCTACATCTTATTCAAGAGAGACCAATGGTCGGGCAGGCTCCTTCCTAAGGGGGGGAGCTCTCCACAGTGCTGGAAACCTTAAGAGACAAGAGCATGGTGAGCCCTATGGGGACTTTCATATATGCACAATTGGTGCCGTCTTTGGAATCTGCCATAATTCAAGGGTGTTGAAAATATATCCATGCCATTTGGACAGGAAGCCTTATGGCCTCTTATGGAGGGTATTTCCTTGAAGGAGAAATGCGATTAGTTCCTTGTTAAGCAAATGGTGGCATGTCACAGGAGTTCAAGAGCCAGCCCGGTTGCCAGAAGACCAGGACTCCAGCTGACTCATTGTGATCATGTGACCCGGGGCAAGGCCCTTTGACCTCTCAGTGCCCCAGGCAAGGAAGACTACATTGCAGAACAGGCACTGATCTGAATTGGGAGAGAGAGTTTCCATACCGGTAGTTTTCTCATACCAATCATGTCAAACTCAAAGAGAAACAGGGACCACAAAGGCATGCACAATAATCCCCAGGGGGAGGACCGCAGGTTGACTTAGAAAATACATGTTTATAGATTTTTCAGATGAAAACATCAACACATTAAAATCAGATAGGAACTCTAATCTGGTCGGGGCTGCATTTGGAAGTGTTGTGGCCGTGTTTGATGTCTCACCTCTACAGCAATGAAATCATAGGTCTGGACTGAAAAGAAAAAAGGTAAGATATAGAGAATGCAACTGTTTAAAAACTGAAGGCACAATTGATTATGAAAAAATTGAATTCTACTTCCATCTCACTCTTAAAGAGCTAAAGGAAGCATAAGCTCTTTCTAAATAGATTTTGGAGTGTTTTTTGATTCTCTTTTGAGGATACTGTGTGGCTCAGTTTTCTCTTTGAAGCTTGGAATGCTGTGATGATGAGTCCTTTGGATAGGATTAGAAGGGCCTTATAAGAGAATGTTGTTGTTGTTGAATCTTTTCAGTTGCGTCTGACTCTTTATGACCCCATTTGGGGTTTTCTTGGTAGAGATGCTGGAGTGGTTTGCTCTCCAGCTCATTTTCCAGATGAGGAAACTGAGGTAAACAGGATGAAGTGACTTGCCCAGGGTCACACAGCTAGGAAGTGTCTGAGGTTGGATTTGAACTCATGAAGATGAGTAGTCCTGACTCCAGGCCTGGTGCTCTGTCCCCCTAACTGCCCACTTTGAAATCTGGTCACTTTTCACTATCACACTTTTAACCAAAAGTTGGTCACTTCTAAGCCATTCCACAAGAGGCCCTGACCAAGGATGATGCTGTAGGATGAGTTCAGAGTACAGCAATAGTAGCAGCTCACAATAATTTAAAGTGCAAACACTGCTTTCCTCACAACAATCCTATGTTGTCAGTAGTACATGTTTTATGATCTTCATTTTACAGATGAGGAAACTGAGGCTAAGTAATGCACCAAGGAACAAACAGCCAGCCATTGAGAAACAGGAGCCAAACCCAGATTTCTCTTCAATGTGTTTAATGTGTAGCTAAAAAGCAACTTCAAATTTCTATGATGAAACACTTCTCTCATTCTTTCCCTCTCCTTTTCCTGTATTTTTCTAAGACTGCTAGTCACAGGAAAGGCTTCAGTATGATTTTGCTAATTGCTGAAGGAATGAATAAAGCAGCTTTTATTACTAGGCATCAGGCTAAGCACCGACCATACAGATACAAACAAGTGAGCCCTTGCCCTGGATTACATTCTAATGGGAGAAGACGATCCCTCTAGGCAAAAAGCAGGAGCTGGGACAGGAAGGCATTTGCAGTGCATCTTGACTTGGTGACAGCTAGCTGGATGGGCACTGTCTGCACCCTGACTGGGGGTGTGTGCTGTACTAGTGGCCTTCTCTTGGCCCTCACTCACCACTCTGTCCTCCCAGACTTGGGAATCTCTAGCAAAGGCATCTGGCATTTTCTTTTGAATTAAGCATGTCAAATAAAGCTGTTATTTTTTTTTCCATCACTGACCTAATTCTTTGTCAATGCCCAGCAACAGGTCATCTCCTAAGCCTTTGCTTTTTTTCCAATTTTCCCACCCTAACTTTTTTCAGCACTTGGACAGCTCCAGCACACCAGAAACTGGAGAAATGACTGGATTATCGAGTACAGTCAGGAAGTCAGGACTTTCATCTTCCATTTTAATTTGTGAATTTTAAATTGGTGACTTTAAAAATTTGAAAGGCTTCTTGGAAATGCACCCATCGCCAGCAACAGCTTAATCATGCATTACCTAGCACCACAACTGAAGAATGTATTTGTCTTAAAGCAGGTTGAAGACATGCTAGTGTGACTCCAGATTAAAGAAGCCTGGGAAACACACTTACCTAGCTGTGGTTGGCGGTTTCTGATCGAATTTTGTGCTATTTTATTTTATTTTATTAGCAATCTCTTTCAGAAGGCCTTTGAGATCGTTCAGCTTTGAAAAAGAAAAAAAAAACCAGGACTGGTATTAGTTCTAAATTAGCCAAACACATTCCTAATTATTGCACAGTGACTTATCTATGGACTGGATACAGAAACCAAGTGTTGAGGACAGTGAACACATCACATGCTATCCTCATTCATTCCATACTCCATCACATATTTCCTGAAAGCAAATAGATAAGCTATTAGCAAATGAACACCATGCTACCCTAGACCCACCCTCATGAGATAATGGGTTTGGTCCAATCATGTGCAATGAACTGTTAGAACTGATCCTCCTTGCAAACAACCAGGCCAGTCAGTGCACATGTGGTGCCCTGCTCCCCAACTGTACAAATAGGAGACCAAACTTGATTGTGAAACACTGTACACATGAAAACAAGTGAAGCTCAATGATGCACACTTCACCTAATTATCAGGTAGGAAACGTGCAGCTCATTTGGATTCATAAATCTGATTTTGGATAACTAATAAAATGGCATGGATTCAGTGGAATATCTACCAGCTGGCTTCTCACTGGCTCTATCACTTATTCAAAGAAACACTTTTGGTCAAATAATGTACATGACGCTTTCTCCATCCCCCTTTTTGTCAAATGTGGCTATGTGATCTTCATGACTGGGTTATTTTCTCCAATGATGCTGACCCTAATTATTCTCCACCCGCTTATCCTGTGCAGTTTTTGCTCACGTCCTCCCAGACGTTCCCCTTGGTGGGGGCCAGCCCAGGTGTGAGGGGGCTCTCTTTGATTTTTACTGACAGGCCAGAGATAGCAGTGGAATCTTCAGGCCGCTCACCAAGCATCCTTTGCTCTCGCTATGTGACAAGCCAATGAGGCTTTTTCTAAAGAGGACCCCGACGTCACTGGGGACTTTAATTGGCTGAAGAGGCCAAGTCCTATTCCTTCTGAGATTGCCCTCCACCTCCTCTGTATGCAGATCACCATTGCCATGTTGGCTTCTCTGTGTGCTCCTCACGGGTAAGGAGAGCATTCATTCTCCCTTTCTTTGTATTCTCAGCACTTAGGTCACTGCTTTGCACACAGTAATTCCTTAATAAATGCTTGTTGACTGATCATCTGACAACACTTTACAGATGCATGGGTAGTGGGTACTGGATAGTGAGCTCCATGTAAACATGGCCAGAAAGACTTCATCTATTTCTAAATTACAACAAAGCCTAAGAAATGTTACAATGGGTCAGAATAATGGTCCATACTGATCAGTGCTATATCTCTGACAGTGGTACCAAGGAGCTCATTACATTTTTTCATCTTCGAAATCCAGGGATCTAACCCCAAATATCCTTCAGCTCTGACCTTGTAGTAAGAGGACCACATGGCCTCTGAGGGCTGTTCCATGTCAAGATACACAAACTTCTAAGCAAGCCATTATGGCTCTATTATTCAGAAACGGATTGCAACTCTCCTTGCACCCATTCATGTTATCAGTTTGACCATCCCCTGGGGGCAACAAGTTTTATATGTTTACTTTGCTCTGGCTTCATTAGACACTAGCTATACCTCTAAGGTCCAGGAGATAAAGATTGGAGCAGGAGTGATCCACTGGCCAGCCAAGGGCCTGGGACCCCTAAGACAGCAGGAGCAGGAGAGGTCTTGCTTTTCTGGTTGGTTGCTGCTGAGGGAGACATCCTGGGAGGGTGAGGGTAGGAGGGCAGGGTAGCTGGGCCATGACTTTGGAGAGCTGATTAGGCAATTATGGCCCATACAAAGGCTGCAATAGTGCCAGTAACACCCTGGGACCTTGCTTCCCAAGAGGCTGAGAAGGCAGGCCAATGTGGGAGGAAAAATGCTGGGCTTGGAGTCAGAGGACCTAGGTCTGCAGCTGAAAGGCTGGCCCTCTTCAGCCCTCACTTTCATCGCCTGTAAAATTGAAGGATTGAGCTAGAGAATCTCTAAGATTTCTTCCAGCTCTAAATTTGTGATCCAATGTGGCACCAAGTTCTTAAAGAAGAAACATTTAAAGCTAGGGCTAGACTGTAGGATTTGCAGAGGGGTACAGTAGAGAACCTGGGATTGGGCATCAGAGGACCTGGGTCCAAGTCCTGGTTCTGCCAAAGGTAATAGCCTTTGTGACCTTGGGCAATTCACTTCACTTCTCTGGGCCTCAGTTTTCTCCTCTGTAAAATGAAGTGGGTGAGTTAGATGAGCTCTGAGGTCCTTTCCCACTGCAAATATAAAGTGGCACGTTTTTGGTTCCTGGTGAGGTCACTGCAGCCTGGCTAGATGTAATCAGGACAATGGAGCCCAATGCCTGCCCCACCCCCAATCTCCCCCATAAAGAGCACAGTACCTTGGTATCCAGCTGTCTAAATCGGTGTCTCATTCTGCAAAGAGGAGAGAAGGTAGGAGTTGTTAAAGTCCATTCTATAACCTCTCCGCCAGGCATGTGCTTGCATGCCCTTTAAAGAAATGATCAGCTACCAAATGACTAGGCAGATTGGGTTAAAGGAAGCTGGGCACTCTCCTTGGCCTTAAGAGTAAATGGAAGACCTGAAAAATGGCAAGAGGCAAGCAGACGTACTCTTCGGAATTGTCATTGGCTTTGGCGTTGCTCTTGACAAGGTAGTTTTCTTTCATTACAGCTTCCCATGACAGCGTTTCATTGTCCTCATTTGTTACACCTTGAATAAAAAGGCAAAAAAGAACCTTAAGTCCTCTCTCCCTCTGCAAATGATCCCGAATATATCTATTTGGGTAAACGTTTCGTCCTCCCCCTCCCCCAGGTTACTTCCTTGAGGGGAAGGACCGTGCTTCAGTGTCTCGTCTGTAGTTGGTGCTTAATACGTGCTTGTTGGATGACGTTCATTTGCCTGGTGTCTGCTGGCAGCCTCCCAATCAGTGGCCACTGGCTCATTTTCTGTTACTCTTCTGCTGACAGAATCTGCCTAGTTTCCCAACCTTGGTCCATGTAGACTGCAGAATATGGGGCTCCAAGACAGAATTGGAGACTTTAAAGCTGGGAGGCCCTTAAGGTCATCCAATCTATGCCCTGCATTCACAGAAGAAACTGAGGCCCAGGAAAGTTAAGTGACTCACCCACTGTCCCACAGTCAATGGCAATGAGGATTGGAGCAAGCCCTTTTGATCCTGTTTTGTTCATCTTCTTTCCATATTGCTTCTTTGGCTTTGACCACTATTCTCAGACCCTGCCTTTAGTACTCAGTCCAAATTAGAGATTTTTACTTCTCTAAACTTAACTGCTAAAAAACATTAAGCTAAATGAATGACTGTCTTTGTGCTCCAAGGCACGATGATGAAGGGGGATTCTACAAGTTCGTCTCAATCATCACAAGCGTTTTCTTCATGAAGAAAAGCAATTGAATTTACATGGTAGCTAGCAATGTTGGAATTAACATTTAATGTCTGGAAAATTTTAAAATTTTTACAAATGTTAAAGAAGCCATTTGGAGGTTTTTTTGGGTAATGTACCTAGCATGAACCCATCTACCATAGAACTCATTTTCTAGGTTGGCTCACTCACCTCAGCATACCCTTATACTGGTAGCTTAGGTTCTTGGAGAAGCAGCATTACTCTGTGGCTACAACTAAACTCTTTCAGGTTCCTAGAGGCACCCCTATTGTGGATAAATACCTTCCTCCTACTCACCACCATAGCTTTGGAGCCCCCACTGGTGTAATTCCACTTACACAAACCCAGCTACTCACAAAGGTGGTATTTTAAGTCTTAAGCATAACCATTTACTCAACAATAAAATGAAAACAATAATAACAACCTCATAGGTTCTTGTCATTCAGGAATAATAGATACATTAAAATTCATATAATATTTTCCCCGTGAATATACCTTCTCTCTGTGGGGAAGAATGAACACACACTTACAGAAACTCATGTGCTCCAGTAACTCACAACTCTTGACCTATAAACATGTATCTTTATATCTCAGGAAATGAATGTAAACCTTCCTTGGTGACTGCAGCTTTTACGCTGAACAGCTGCTGAGCTAAGATTGACCGGCATCTCAGAAGGTGATTCGCTGGGTGACTTTTCTTATTCTCTGCTTCTAAGTTGCTCCTGTACTGAGCTGGGGTTACTTCTTTACAGAAACTGCAGAAGTTTACCATCTCCAGAGCCAGGCTTATTTGATGCCTTCATCTTAAGTGGTGTTACTCTTTTTTAGAAAAAGTGGACAATTGTCATTGTAAAATTGACAAAAGCCTTTTCAACTCTGCTCCTTTGCAGAATTATTTTTCTCCTTTTCTATCTTTCAGATGCAACAGGCTACAAGCAAGACAAGCTCTTCTGTCTTCTCTTCAGCAGAGAATCATAAGAGAACAGCATAGTATATTATCTCCATTTCTTCTTCCTTTAGGCAGCATATGACAGTAGAGAGCAATTTGGATTTTCATTGGCCAATCAGTCTGCCTTGTAACAAATGACTCTAATTGACCAACCAATTTGCCTGGCAACCCCCCAAAACTCTCTATACAGGGTAGGAGATAGATAGATAGATAGATAGATAGATAGATGATTTCTCTTTGATGTAGTTCTGAAATCTGTCCTTTCACTTCTCTCTTATCTTGGGTTCAGTCTCCAGGTCCTTTCTGCAAATGAATCCACCTTAACTTGTGGTTAATAACTGAATTCTCATGATTATGTTCAGATAAATTGCATTTGTTCTATAATCATAGAAAATGCAGGTGCCCATATTTCCCCATATATTAACTTCTATGTTTTCTAATTCTTCAATTTTCCGTATGTAGATCATTGTGTTTTCTATTCCCTCCAGTGTTCTTGCCACATTCAAATAGACAACTTTTTTTCCTCAGAGCTCTGAGTCAGACAACTTCAGTATTGCTTCTCTTAGACATCTGTGCAGAGCTAACCAAGTGAGCTTAGTCAAGGCAAACTTAAATCAGCATTTGTTTTTCTCAGAAATAGATTTATTTATGCTCCAGATGAATGAGGTGACATTTAGGTTTACTCCATTAAAGGGTAACTGCTCGCATATTAAAAATCATTTCAAGTGGTAGGAACTTCAGAGACATTAACATTCCGAAATTCCTTCTTTTCTGGATGTGAGCTTAAAAGAGAAATTAGGAGAGATACTAGGGCTGAATACATAGATTTGGGAAGCACTTTCAAAGAGATCAGAATTAAATCCGTGAGAGCTTATGAGATCACCAAGAGGATATACAGTAAAAAAAAAGAGGCTCTAGGACAGAACCCTGGGGTAGACCCATGCTTAGGGTGTGGGGCATAGATAATAATTCAGCAAGGAAGACTATGAAAGAGCAGACAGGTAAGAATAGAACCGGGAGAGAAAAGTATCATAAAACCTAGGGAGGAAAGAATATTCAGGAGGAGAGGGCGACCAACCATGTCAAATGCTGTGAAGAGTTAAAAAAAAAAGGATGAAGACAGATGAAAGATAATTGGATTTAACAATTAAGACATGGTTGGTAGACTTGGAGATAGAAGTTTACATTTGAGTTGAGTGGCAAGACCGAAAGCCAGACTGGAAGCCAGACTGAAGCCAGACTAGTGCATAGAGGTACTAGAAGTATTCAGAAAGAAGGGACAGGCAACCCTATCAGAAAGAGAATTGATGTCAAGAAAGATGAGAGGTGAGAAAAGCCACCAGGCTTGTTGCATTGACAAATAAATATTTCAGTGCAGTGCACTTGAGGAATTTCACTTAGATTCAGGTTAGTCACAGAATCATAGCTTTAGCACTGGAAGGAATATTAGAGTTCATGCAGCCCCACACCCTCATTTAACAGATGAGGCAATGGAAGCCCAGAGTTCTCTGAGCTGCCCCAGCTCACACAGGCAATGAACTGAAGACCCCAACCTGGCTCACCTGATTCCGAAGTCCAGCTGTCTCTCCATTTGCCCCTCCATCTCTCTGTCTGTCTTTGTCTCTGTCTCACCCCCCCAACCCCATACGCTAATTCAGTATCAAGTGAAAACTACCACCAAATCTGCAATATTGTAATGCACTCCAGAGGGGTGACTGTGTCCAGTCTGACCCTCCAAGTGCAGAAGCCAGACACCACTCACAGCAAGCTGAGGGCTTGGTGTGTTTTTCTTTGCAGCAGCACTTGAAGCATTTTTTCACCACCATGTAGAAATAAGCAAAGACCACAAAGGGGAAGGGAATGTTCAGGCGGCTGCAGTACTCCTGGACCAGGAAGTAACGCTGGAATTTCCACACCTGGTCGTTGTTTTCCTGCACTGTTCCCACGGTGTACCTGGCAGGGAGAAGGAAAGGAGTTGGCGTGGCCTCCATGCTCTGCGTACCTCAGTCAAGGGGAGTTCCAACCATCTTTCCCACCCTCACCTCACCCCCTAACTCCAAACTCTGGCGTGGGCTTGTCAACTTGAGAACAAAATCAAAGTGAGTCTTGTGCCAGACCCTTCCTGCCTTTTCTCTCTCCATCTTCCCTTCCTCCCTTCTGATTTAGGTAGTAAATGGTGGTAGAGGCCCTACTGTGTGCAAAGTCCTGGGCCAGGTGCTGGGAGGATAGGAGAATGCAATGCCTAGTCTTTCTGTGGCATTTGAAGGTTTGTAGAGCGCTTCCATTTGCTATTTCATTTGTTCTTCAGGATTACGCAGTGAAATGAGTGTTATTATTATCCTACTTTGTAGATGAGGAAACTCTATAAATGAGGTTAATCAATATTCCCAGAGTCACACAGCTAGAAAGTGTCTGAGGAGGAATTTGACCTTGGGTCTTCTTGACTCCAGACCTAACTCTCTGGGCCAGCTAGGTGGCGCCATAGTGCATACAGCTCCTGACCTGGAGTCAGAAAGAGTCATCTTCATGAGTTCAAATCTGGCCTCAGACACTTACTAACTGTATGACCCTGGACAAGTCACTTCACCCTGCTTGCCTCAGTTTCCTCATCTGTAAAATGAGCTGGAGAAGGGAAGGGCAAACTCCTCTAGGATCTCTGCCAAGAAAACCCCAAACAGGGTCATAAGGAGTCAGACACAACGAAAGTGACTTAACTCTGTAGCCAGTGCACCACCAGCTGCCTGCGAAGTTTAGCTCAGACATGGGTCTTTCACCTTCATGGAAGTCACAGTCCATAAGGATGATAGGACAAATACAGATAACTACAGCACAGGATTTTGCAGGGTCACTGTATTAGACGGATGTAGGTGAGATTTCTTTATGAGACAGAGAGAGGTCAAAGCTCTTTGCGACATTTGAAGGTTGTTACTGATAATGGGGATCGGGGACGGTTTTGTGGAAAGAGGACCACGAAATTGGGCTTTGGAGAATGGTCCGGAATTCAGTAGGAGAGGAGGGGGAGGGGCCGCTTCAGAAACAGAACTGGTCGTTTTCAAGTGACATTTGAAAAAAAAAATGGGGACTTAATTTCCCTCCTGAATACAAGAAGTCAAGTCTGATGATCCAAAAGCCTTAAAAGATGAAAGTCCTTCAAATGTCTGTTTAGTTTAATTCTGTTAATTAATGTAAATGTATAGATGGATGGATAGCTAACTTGGAGCAAGAAGATTTGATGTCAGGTCTTGCCCTCCCCCTGAGCTGACTGCTTGACCTTGGACAAGTCTCCTAAACTGTTTGAGCCTCAGGCAACTCTCTGGGAATGAAGAGTAGATGAGGCACAGTTCTGCAGCACTGGAGGAATTTTCTCACTGAGAAATCCTCAAACAGAGGAAATCAGGGTCTTGATTAAAAACAAAAAGTGAATTGCAATTTCTCCGAGGGCAGGAAGCCTTTCATTTTTGCCTTCATACTCTCTGTGACTAGTACAATCCCTAAACAGGATTGAAGCATGCTTGTTGAATTCAATTGTTTTAAGACTTGGGAGGAGATTGAAGGGGGAATCTCTCTGTGAACTTGGTATTTTCCACCTCTCCCCATTAGAATGTAAGCTTCTTGAGGGCAGAGACCATTTGATTTTTTTATATTTCTATCCCCAGGATTTAGGACAGTTCCTAGTACACAGTAGGTGCTAAATAAATGCTTCTTTAATGAAGGAATGAGAGCGAGTTCCAAAAAAGAGGAATATCTGAAGACTTGAGAGAGCACAAATAACTAGGAGACCTGATCATGGAGGACTGCAGGGAGGAGATGGCTCCTAAGTTGAGCCTTGAAGGAAGTCAAGTCTTCCAAGGGCAGAGATGCTCACTCTGGGGACAGCCCTAGAGAAGGGGTGCAGATTATAGGGTTGTAGGGTCTCAGGGTCTCACTGCTCTGGCCATTCTAGAACCCTAGAATGATTTTCATTATGATGATCCATGAGAGGCCTATACCCTTCTGGAATTAAGTACACAATTTTGTCTCCATAGAAAATTAAAAACACTAAATTTTGGAATATCCACTTAGCTCCAATTCTGTGAAAGAAATGGGTTAAGCTGGTGCTTGGTGGTTGACAATTGAAAACATTAAGGGCCAGGAAGCATAGCACGGGTGTTGGCCCACTCAAGCGCAAGGGACCTAGAAGCCATATCATGCAACTCACTCATTTTACAGAGGGGAGACTGAGGCCAAGAGAAGTTAAATGACCTGCCCAAGCTTACCCAAGTCATAAGCCACAGGGGCAAGATCTAGACCCACGTCCTGTTTTCCAAATCCAGTTTTGTGCCTTCCCTTCATACCACATTCACCTCTCTCAAAAGTCAATGATTTTGTAATTCAGTCCATAGGGGAAAACTGTCTTCAAGTTCAGTTGAGCTGGTTATCGCTTGCGGAGGCTGCCATACACCACAAAGGATGAACTTGGGAGCCCGTGTCTAGAAGATAATTGAATGTGAAGCCTTCTACACGCTTTTGAGAGTCTGCACAGAGCTCATGATCGATACTGTTAATGCAGGAGAGTTTCAGATATTTACATCTGTTTCCTTTCACCCTCGAATATCATTGGAGGGAACTGCGGGCAGCTACTTTAAACCCCCAAGTGTACATTAGATTGCTGTTAACAGCTCCCAGTGAATATGGCCAAGTTGACAGATCAAGGTTAACAGGATCATGGGATTTCCAGGGAGGAGATTCTTTATAAATCTTGTGCTCCAACATCCTCATTTTGCAGATGAGGAAACTGAGGCTTAAAGAGGGGATTTGCTCAAGGTGCCAAGGTAGCCAAGGAAGAGTCAAGATTCAAGCCTATTTCCTCCCCTCCCACGTCCTGTGCTCTTACCATTACACAGATGAGCATACAGAGTCTGAGAGATAAAATGACTTCCTTTAAGGCATCTTGAGGGTAAGAGGCAGGGCCAGAATTCAAACCCAGGTCTCATGCCTAGTGCTCTTCTTGGGTAGAGGTTGTTCCTGGCTGTGAATCTGCTCACCAGTGGGGAGCCCCCCCTGGACAGTGAGTGCTATGCTTTCCTCTGCACTGAGGAGATTGGGAGAGTCATTTTAAGGACTGTTATGAACTAACCAAGTCTTTGTGTGCCCAGGTTCCAAAATGCTCAACAAATTTCCCAGACAGAAAGGTTCTCCTCTATGCCAGACAGTGTGCCAAGAGCTGGGTCTCCCTGTGCACAAAACAGTCCTGGCCCTCAGGGGTGGTTACTGTCTCCAGAAATGGAGCTACTAAATTAACTAAGACTTCAGTCAGGTAGGCTGCAGAGGGCCTTTCTCTGGCCATGCCGAGAGAAATCTCTATAGGGGGCAGCCGAGGCCATGGCAGCTGGCTTTGTCACCATGTTCTCTCCAAAAGAATATGAGGAAAAACAGATGAATCTCAGTTGAGGGCAATCATGGAAGGGTTTCTGGAGGGGGTGGCACTAAAGTTGGATTTATTTCCTGTGTAGCACAATCCAAGGGTTGGTTAATATTGCTTCCCACATACTCTACATTCCAGCCAAACTGGCCTCTTTATTTTTGTCTGAAACTTCCTTATCCTTTGCCCTATTGGTCCCGCATACCCTCAATGGTCTCCCTCCTCATCTCTGCCTCCTAGAAGCCCTAACTTCTAAAATTCAGGTCGGAGCCACCTCCCACACAAGGTCTTCCCTTCACTCCTTCCCAGGTGCTACAATTTTCTCCTCCCTGACATCACTTTGGTTTACTTTGTGCACAGTGTGTCTATCTGTGTAGCTGTTGTCCACTCCCAATGGGAATAGAGGCTCCTGGAGGGCAGAGATGATTTCATTTTTATCTTGGAAATCTCAGAGCCTAATATACACAGTAGGTGCTTAATAAATGGAGGAAGGAAAGGAGAGAGGGAGGGACGGGAGGTGGAAGGTAGAAAGGGAAGAAAGAAGGAAGGAAGACAGAAAGGGAAGAGTATATGGGGGATACAGTCTCTCCAAAGACCCTACATTGCCACCCATATCCTGACAATCTCCTTTTCTTTACTCCAACTGGGCAGCTGCCCCAGTACATACCCAAACATGGCGACCAGCAGGTTCACAAGCAGGATGTTGGTCGAGAGCATGTAGATGCACACGAGGGGGATGGTGATCCATTCAGGGAATCGGGGCAGCTGGTGTTCATCCAGTTCCACACATAGAGGTTTGGATTCATTGCCAGTGAAGGTGCAGTGAGAAAGATCGTAAGTGGTACCTAAGGCACATAGAGAAAGACAAGTCAATGGCGCTCTTGGAGGGATGGAGGTGGGGAGGCAGGCACTACAATGGGAGGGGTTTCAGCAACGGCAGATGAATGCTCTGAGTTCAGATATGGTCTCCAAAGTTGGTTAGTGGTGTGTCTCTGGGCCAGCCACTTAATCTTTGCCTGCTTCAGTTTTCCTATCAGCAAAGTGGGAATAAGAATGGCGCTGACCTTCAAGGCTGCTAGGAGGACCAAAGGAGGTCACACTTATAAGGCACGGACAAACTCTGTAAATGTTGTTATTTTGAGTATCCAAGAAACAGGAGGCTACTTTGGAGGAAAATTTCACATGGATAGGAGAACTCCAGAGAAGGCCTTATTGGCAGCTCCGTCTGCCTGCTCTATTTTCTCCATGCAAATGAGAACCACATAAACATTTTTCCTTCAAAAGACCGAGAGACTGATCTTCAGCCAGTAACTGAAAGAAGAGGGAGCAACATGGTGTGGTGTTATATAGGGTGGTGGATAGAGAGCCAGCTTTGTAGTCAGGAGACTTGAGTTCAAGTTCTCACACATACTGGACTCATGACCCTGGGCATTTCACTTAATCGCTTAATGCACTAGGCACCTCTCCAAGACTAGAAGCTAAAGAAGGAGGTACTGACCTGGATTGCTGGAGAGGGTTTTCTCACCTGGAAGTTCCCTACTCCAATGGAATCCCAGGTCTAGTCCCTATTCATCCCTCCAACTATAGGTAACTTGGAGGCTTAGCTGCAGGTGATAGTGCATGTAAATACAGTATTTTGTGACCTTGGTGCTGAATCCATTGAGCCCACCACCCAGGGTATTGGTGTGTTACAATTGTCTAATAGTAAAGAATCCCTCTTTTTTGGGCTGGGGGAAAGTGTCTAAAGGGAGCCATGATCCCAATGTCAGTAATCCTGAGAGGTGCATGAAGAATGAAGACACCCCTCTCAAGCTCCTCTCAACAGTTCAACAAGTATTCATTCAACTACTGTACGCCAAGCACCGGGGATATGGAGACAGAATCAAAACAGTTCCTGACCTCAAAGAGCTTCAATTCTGCTAGGGGAAATTGCCACACCTCCACAGACACAAAGTAAAGCGTGAGCTCCTAGCCACACCCCTGCCACGCACACACATGCAGGACGCAACGTGTACCACTGATTACCGTCCACATCGCTGGGCACCTGGCCGAACATGGCCAGGTAGGGCTCGTAGATCACTGAGCGGAAGATCCACTCCCAGCGATGCTCATTCTGCCTCAGGATGCCTTGACGGGCCACCCCAAAGGCCACCATCCAAACCGCGAAGAGGAACAGGAAGAAGAAGACGTCAATTAGCTGGAGGAGGAGGACGGAAAAAGCTGTCAGCGTCTCATTCACTGTCTCTCGAGTGAGTCCAACCTGCTTATCTGGTAAATGCGTGTTGAGGGGTCACTGCTGATGGAGCGAAAGGTGATTAGAACACAGCTGGGACAGAAAAGAGAATTACCCAGTGTTCATTTCATCCCTTGAAGTGGCTTAAAAAACAATCTATCTGATTTATCTCCTATTAGAAGCTTCTTCTCACTCCTTGTGCAATGGAGTCGACTCTGGGTTCAAGAGGCTAGGCCAGAGGAGCACACCCTCCACATCTTCAACCAGACCAGAAAGGCTTCAAGTGCTGGCCTGAGTCTGGACTTTCTGCCTACAGGCTTCAGAATCAGTTTATTCAGAGGCACCTCTCTGAGTGAGGAAAACCATTACCAAATGGCTGAAGAGTCTGTAAATAGAAGAAATTATATTCTTGTTCTGTCCTTGGAAAGCTGCCCCCCCCATCCATGATGTTGTGAAGTAGAAAGAGAGGTGGTTCTAGAGTCAGAGACCCTAGGTTCAAATCTCTGCTCTGTCGTTTACTCGCTATACGATCAGTTGGCAAATCACCCAGCCTCCCTCGGTCTCAATTTCTTCCTTTCTAAAATGAAGGAGTTAGACTAATGATCCCTAAGGTCCCTTTCAGCTCCAAACCTATGATCCTATGGCCTTGAATTTTCTTAAAAAGAAAAAACTTCAACCTTTTAAAAAGAATAATCAAATCACAAGAAATTCTACTAGTAGAGAAGAAGAGAAACAAATCAATGTTTATATAGCACCTGCTGTGTACTGAGCACTGTGCTAAGCCCTTTTTACAAATATTATCTCATTTGATCCTCACAACAATCCTGCAAGGTAGTTGCTGTTCTTATGCCCATTTTACTGTTAAGAAAACTGAGTCCAACAGAGGTTAAGTGACTTGCCTGAGGTCATACAATTAGTAAGTGTCTGAGCCTGAATTTGAACTCAGGTCTTCCTGACTCCAGGCCCAGCTCTATCCATTGCTCCACCAGCTGAATCCAAGGTTATAGATGGAAAAATTTAAGGTTAAGCAGAGTTAGTGGATGGAAAACTGTCATGGCATGTAATGCTTTAGAATAATTTTTAATCAAGGATGAAAGTCTTGGACCCTGGTGTAACTGGAACCCAAGAATAAAAGTTTAAAACCACTAAATTATCACCAAATGAGTTAATATATTCAAAGTGATTTACAGTCCTTAAAGGTGTTTAGAAATATTGGTTATAATAATAATTATTATTATTGGCCTTGTTCTGATGAGGAAAAGTTCTTCAGTATCATGGATTTCCATTTCCTTCTGAAGAAAACCAAGCTGGTCATTTCCAGCTCCCAGCCATGTTGCAATCACTTGCTGGGTCAATTGGCCACAGCCAGCTTTTATCAGGCTTCAGCCTGTAAAAAGTCCCTTTGGACACCATAAGATGGCAACCCTGAGGTTGTGCCATTGGAAGCCTCTCTATGCACAATTTCTTTCCCTGATTGGTCTGAATTGTTGGGCAGAACGCTTTCTTCTGTCTCTGAATCTTACCATCCTCTGCAGCATGATGATTTTGGGCCCCAGATTTCTGCTCACAGTGAAAATATGGATGAGTCTCAGAGTGAAAATGATATAATCCAAGCAAAAGATGACACGTCCAGAGTATAGGGAGCTTTTGTTAGAGGAGTGGAGCCTGTTGAGAAAAGGAAAAAGGGCGTGGAAGAAAGAATGATTTTAGAAATCCTTTGGCTCTGTTATAGCAAAAACAAAGGATGTGAAATCTTTTGCAAATATATTCTCCTTTGACAAGGAATATAGGCTATACTTGAATATGTGAGCACTAAGGAGACCAGGATTAATTGTGGAAAATGCCATATTGGCAGTCCTGAACAGGTGAGTCTTATATTTCCATCTTAGATACCATAAAGGAAATGTGTGGATCTGCACAACTGTGCTGCCCCTTCTTTCCCAAAACCTGAAGCAGACTCAGCCCACTGGATGAACAACATGGTCCTGGGAACAGTGGAACAGAATGCTAGTAGAACGAGGGAAGAGGAGGCCGCATTTCCCTTTGCAGGATTGCAGAGTTAAAGGCTACTTGGGGTGCCCCTGTTGTGATGGCATGCACATACCTGTTTCCTCCTGGGAAGGAGCTACTACCGCACGCCCAGCCTGTGCCATTTCATTCTAAATTCGGCTCAAGCACTGATTTCGACATGAAGCCTTTCCTGATTCCCCTTCTCCAGCTTTTTAGTGCCTTCCTTCCTCTCCCAAACGACCTTGTATTTGTTTGGTACATATTGTGAATATGCTTACATCTGTGCAAGTTGTCTCCATTGATAGAGTGTAAGCTCCTTGAGAGCAAGGGCAGTCTCTGTTTGTATCACTAGCGGCTAGTGTGGTACCCGGCACACAGTAGAAATTTAATGAATGTTTGTAGCTGGATTGGCTTTGGTTTTCCAACCACAAAGGCTCGATTTGAAACAATCTTTGAGCAGATTTCTTGGACAAGACAAAGGTGAAAAGGTGGTCTCATTTCAGGAAATTGTCCAAAGCCAAAAGGAATCTGTCCAACAGTGTCAGGAGAACACTATGTAGAGAAGGACTGAGAGCTTTGAATAATAGCAAAGGGCTTCATTCAGTTCTTGGCACAGCTGCCTTCTGTAATAATACTCAGCCAATAAGCATTTATTAAGCACTTGTGTTTTGTAATGTTTTGTCATGTCCTGTTCTATCCTGTCCTATCCTACTATATCATATCATACATCATACAATACCAGGCCTTATGCTAAGTGTTGGGGATATAACAACAGGAACATAAAGGGTCCATGCTCTTAAGGACCTCACCTTCCAACAGGAGAGACAACACACACGGGTACATACAAGACACCTACAAAGTAGTAACCTTAGAGGTAAGGAACTAGTGGGTGCTCAGAGTGGGATGGGGTGGGGAGGAAGGCAAGAAAGGCCTCCTGTAGAAGACAGCTCTTAAATTGAGTCTTGAAGGAAGATCAGGCATCTGAGAGATAAAGGTGAGGTGGGAGAGCATTCCAGGTGCGGTACAGGCATGTTGTTCCCACCTCCAGGCATGAGCAAATAACTTCTGTTAATGGTTCATGACTGGGGTGGATTCCTCCATCAGTTTCTTTACTTCCACTCAGTTCAAGACACAAGCCTGCCTGGAATCCTCAAAAGTGAACCATTTAACTTAATCAATCAGAAGAGATGGGTCAGGGATGTTTTCTAATGTTCAAGTGTCCACTGGAGGTGACCCAGTCTGTAGTGTCCATTGGCTCAGCATTTGATTGTTCTCTTTGGCTTGCAAATACACAGATCGTCAGAAGCCCTGGGCAAAAGGACATGCTGACACAGAATACGGAATCATAGAAGGTCAGGCTTGGGAAGAACTTCTGAGGTTTTTTCATTTTTGTTATTTTTTGAACCATAAATCAGCAAGAGCTAGGAAAGACCTGGGAGGTCTCCTAGTCCAGTCTCCCACTCAATGCAGAAATCCCCTTGACAACATCCCTGATAGGTAGTTTTATTGCCTTGGCTTGAACACTTCCAATGATGAGCCAATTTCTCCCAAGGTTCCCCTAGCTTCTGTTTCACTCTTAGTCCCACCTTGTGGCCAGAATGATGTACAGAGGAACCATTTTCCTCACCTTCTCCTATTTCTTCTAAGAGACCTGCTCTTGACAGGAAGGCAAGTTGGAGAACTGCCAGATGCCCTGTTTCTGGTAGAAGGAGACTCCTCTAAGCTGTCTAGACAGCTTATTACCCTGTCTTGACTATAGATTGCATTCCCTAAGCTTTGGGATCAAGTGGACTGACTTAATTTATGGTGGCATGCTGCTATTTATATAACCTGAGATGCTATTTGAATCATACAGGCTGGACAGGCAGGTGTGGATGGGTTGGGACTATGTCACTGGAGGGAGCATCCAAAGTAGTGAGACTGCTGGAGATGTGGGGGATTCTCCCTCCTTGGCCATCTTGAAGCAGAGGCTGGGTGACCACCTGTTGGGTGTGTCTTGGTGGGGATTTCTTTTGTGTAGAGGCTGAACTAGGGGCTGCTGAGTCCTCTTTCTACTCTTAAATTCTGTGATTCTATTAGAGTAACCTTCTTTGGGCAAGTCACTTAAACTCCCTGGATCTCAGTTTCCTCATCTGTAAAATGAAGGGATTTGACTAGCTGACCACTAAGGTCATTTCCAGCACTCCAGTTATCATTCTCACAATGATTTTGTGACATAGATAGTCCATAAAGCATCCTTATCCTCATTTTAAAAATGAGGCAACTGGAACTCATGAAAGCCACATCATTTGTCCAAGGCCCCATGGGTTGGAATTCAAACCCAGATTTTTTAGCCCCAAGATCCAGGGCTCCTTCCCCGAGACCACGGTGTCTCTCCTAGTGATGAGAGCCATCCACTTTACATCAGAGGAAAACTCAGCATGTCTGTGTTATGGGGTGGGGGAATAGAAAACTCCTTGCTTGGAGTTCAGCTTGGAGCCATCATCCATGGCTCATTATGATGTAGGCCCCCACCCACCACTGACAACACAGTGCACCTGAGGAGCTCAGAGAGTGCATGATTTAGAAATGCTGAGAAAGTTTCTCACCTGAAGACAATCCCTGCTATGAAGTAAAACAACCCAAGAGTGTCCATGACATTCCACAGGTCGGTAAAGTACTTAAGCCCATTCATGTACCACTGTAGGATGGATGAGAGAAGGAGCAGAATGCCATCATTAAGGTATACTCCCCTATTCCCTTGGTCTCCCAGACTTCCTTTGCTTGCTTTCATTCATTCATTACCAACTCATTTATAGTGACTGTGTGAGGCACTGAGCCAGGTGTTCAAGGGACAAAGATATACTGTGACCCTCTGACTGATACCTGGATATCTTGAGAGCTAGGACCACTCTTGATGTTGCCTTGAAAGTGGAAAACACATGCTAACAGCGTCTATCCATCCTTCTATCTATCTACCCATCCATCCATCCATCCATCTCTTTATCTATCTATCTATCTATCTATCTATCTATCTATCTATCTATCTATCTATC